CCCGTTAGAATACGGCACCTAAAAAAAACTAATAGGCTTACCTTCTTTTAGGTTTACTCTAGGTAGGCTCAAGGCATCAGAGAGAAACAATAGCTCCTTTCATCGGGGTCATGCGCAGAAGGTGCTTGCACCGATCTGCCAAGCATAGGTTCGACTGCGTGGTTCCGAAGGCTTGTAGACTAGCAAGTACAGTTATAAGTACCTTAACTGGGGATGTAACCAAGGATAGGTATAGTTACCTTATTTAAAGCCCTATATACTAAGTACCATGAACCTTTAATTAAACCCGTACACACACCAACCTTACCTCCAGACCCTACCAAACTTACACCCTAAACTTTCTCCTCAAGCTGGGACCTAAAGCCCGAACCGCTAAACTGGATCTTAAATCGTCCTGCCCTCTATAAGCGTTTAGGGCTTCCGAAAAAAACGGGGGCACCTTGTCTTGGGGTCCTTATGATAAGGATCCTTCACTATACCCCCGACTCTCAGAAAGGTGCCAAGCCATTTCCTCCGACAATCTGCCCAGGTTTATACCTGCGCGGAGATCAAAAAAATTGCACTTGGATTAAAACAGCAAGCCACAAAGATCAAAACAAGAACTAAAAACAGTATCAAAAAATTCAACCAGTACCCACGCACCAAAATTGTGGAAGAAACATAGGGTGAGGGATCAAACAAAAATTAAAATAGGATCAAAAAATAAAGTGGTCGGTGTAGTAGTCGTGGTCGTGGTCGTGGTCGTGGTCGTGGTCGTGGTCGTGGTCGTGGTCGTGGTCGTGGTCGTAGTAGTAGTAGTAGTAGTTGTTGTTGTTGTACCTCAGCAACAGCAGCAAGAGCAGCAGCAGCAGCAGCAGCAGCAGGAGCAGCAGCAGCAGCAGCAGGAGGAGGAGGAGGAGGAGTAGTAGTAGTAGTAGTGGTAGTAGTAGTAGTAGTAGTAGTAGTAGTGGTGGTAGTAGCGGTGGCAGTTGTTGTTGTTGTACTTCAGCAGCAGCAGCAGCAGGAGCAGGAGGAGGAGGAGGAGGAGTAGTAGTAGTAATACTACTACTACTACTACTACTACTACTACTACTACTACTACTACTACTACTACTACTACTACTACTACTACTACTACTACTACGTGGTTTTGGGGGTTCCGTTGGCTCTTTGAGCTCCTTATTTAATAGGGATAATCATGATCCCTGGCTCCTTAGCTCCCCAATATCAATGGTTATACTACTACTACTACTACTACTACTACTACTACTACTACTACTACTACTACTACTACTACTACTACTACTACTACTACTACTACTACTACTACTACTACTACTACTGCATTCCTTCCTTGCTTTCTTCTGCCTTGCCCTGTTGTTTTCTTTTAGGTTTTGTCCTCCCTTCATTTCTTGGCCAATTCCTCTCTTATTTGCTTTCTGTGTTCCTTCTTTGCTTTCCGTCTTTCCGTCCTTCATTTCAATTCCTTGCCCTTTCTTTCTTCTTTCCCTGCTGCCTTCCTTCGTTGCTTCCTTCCTGCTCTTCTCTTTTCCATTATTCCTTTCTTTCTTTCTGCCTTTCTTTCTTCCTTCGTGGCTTCGTTCCTTCCTTGCTGCCTTCCTTGCTTCCTTTCTACGTTGTTCTTCCTTCCTACCTTCCGTCTTTCGGTGGTTTATCCTTCCTTCCTTCACTCCTTCCTTGCTTTTCTTCTTCCTGCGTTCCTTCCTTCCTGCCTTCCTTCCTTCCGTGCTTTCTTACTTCCTCTCTTCTTTCTGTGCTTTCTCCCTTACTTCCTTTCTTCTTTCCTTCCTTTCTTTCTTCCTTCCTTCCCGCGTTGCTGGCTTCTTCTTCCCTTCCTGCCTTCCTTTCTTCCTAACGTTTTTCTCCTGCCTCCCTTCCTTCATTCCTTTCTTTCTGTCTTTCTTCCTTCCTTCCCTCTTCTTGCTGTGCTTTATTTTTGATCCTAAGTTAAATATTTGTTGATCCTAATATATCCTGATTTAAAGTTGTTTCGATCCCTATCCCCGGAAGGCTTAACCAAGCCCCTCAGGGCTTAGAGGTTTCCTGAAGGCTCTGCAAGGGGTTATACAAGGATTCTGTGAGGACGTTTCTCCATGGCAGTTTCAGAATACTTTCTGGGTATATAGGGATGAAACCGGGCTTAGGTGACAAGCGTGCGCCTGGGGCTTTGGAGTCAGGTCCTCCTGTTAAGCGATCCTGCCAGTTCAGCTTCATACAAGGGTCCCCTGCTTTCAGAAACCCCCGCCAAGTGACTCCAAAGCTTGAGATCTTCCGAGACACCGAGCCCTAAACCCTAAAGCCTAAACCCTAAATCCTAAAGCCCACCTCAGGGTGGTTCCCGTCTCATCGATGCTGATGTCAGATCCTCGGTTCTTGCTCCGCAACTTTCCGAAAAGGGTTTTCTTGCCTTTGGTTAGTAGGGAATGGAGGAATGGGGTACAATTATAACTACAATTACTACCATTCTTCCATTCCCTACTAACCAAAAAGGTAAGTTTTGGAGTTGTCAGCGTCGGCTCTGAACCCCAAACCCTACCCTAAACCCTTAGGTTCTGAAGCCTAATACCAAACCCGAAACACCCTTCCGTTCTGAACCCAGAGACAAGCCCAGAGAACCCAATACCCCTTAATTAAGGAATATACCTTTTGAGGCATCAAAAGTATGATTTCAAGCATATTCCTGAATTCAGGGGTATTGGGATCTCTGGGAGCAAAGCGACAGGCAGAAAAAGCGCCAATCTCTGCAGCGATGCGCAAGGACCAGGAAAAGGCCTCTCTAGGCTTCCCGCATGTGGGGGTCCTTGGGTTTACCCAGAGGCCCCATAGTAGCTCCTTTTGGGGATTAAATATGAACCCCCAAAAGGAACTACTTTGGGGCCTTCGGGTAGTGTTTAAGGTTTATAGGGCCTCGGGTTTCGGGGTTTGGGGGTTTGGGGGTTTAGGGGTTTAGGGGTTTAGGGATTTAGGGGTTTAGGGGTTTAGGGATTTAGGGATTTAGGGGTTTAGGGGTTTAGGGGTTTAGGGGAGGGCCCACATCCCAAGTTTAGAGGGCAAAGCTCAAGAGACGGGGGCGTGGCCGTCACAGATCTTGTCCAGCAGCCTGAGGAAAGAAGCCTCCGTGAGACTGTGAGAAACCCTGCAGCCTCAAGCAGAGATCCCAGGTGAAAGTTCTGAGACCATTCTGGTCGCCGGTTCTCCGGCCTACATAATCGCTCTCCACCTGTGCTCGCCCGAGTCCTGAAGCTTAGACATACCCTTGGGCACAAAACTTGAAGGCCATAGATGGGATTGGGGTTTTGGGTTCAATATCTTTGCTGAGCTTCAGGGGTCGTATCAAGCCAACCGTCAAGCCAAAGCTGAAACAGCAACCACCAGAAGTGCCCGACAGGCATGAACTAGCCCTTGCGCCTAGGAGCTCTTTGCGTTCCTCGGTGGTCTCGGGGTTGTTTGGGCCTAACCCCGACACCTCAACTCCCAAAAAGCCCGTGCACCCAACACCCAGAAACCTGGCTTCTGGTGCTATCGCTGGGCTGAAGATAGGCGCCTCGTAATCACGCAATCCCGGCTCCTCATCCTGGAGTGCAGGAGCTGGAGGGTAGGGTTTAGGGCTGGGCAGTTCGGAATACGTGTAGCTCGTTTTCGGCGTTTGGGTTTGAACAGCTACCTGGACCCTAAGGAACCCTACCTTTTTTTAGGGTTCCCTAATATGATTTCTTTATATGAGTCCTTAAAAAGGTAAGTCATTTGGGGTTAAGGATAGGGTCCAGAGGGGAACCTTATCAGGCTTCCAGCCTTTCAGGCTGGCTTGCGAACAAAGCTATGGCTGAGAAACCAGAGACTCGAGATTATACTGTGAAAGATTGTTCCTGTATCGGAATGCCATTTCTATTGGGGGATGGGGATCCTTCACATCCGAGATGGTTGGAGGGGCTTCTTCTGAGGTTGGGTCTGGGAGGAGAGGAGGAAAAGCTGAAAGTTGCAACGAGGCGCAAATTACAGTATTGCAAATCCTCGAGCGATGGTGCAAGGGAACTTCTGCAACTAAGGAGAAACTCAACACAATCCGGAGCTTTTAAGGCTGTCGCCCTTAGGGTACGTAAAGCTTACCCCTCCAGGCCTTCGCCCGTATGTCGGCAATGACAATCGGTTTTCCGCTCACCACCGACAACGCCAGCCGTTGTCTAAGAAAACTGCTGCCACTGTACCTGCTTCGAACGGCTCGGAAGCGAAAGAACGACGCTCACATCAACGCATCGACAGCCGGGCCTCAACCAACCGGAACTCATGAGCCCAATTGCTCATGGACGAAGAGAAACGAGATCAGCAACAGAAATGCGCACAGCGTGCAACTATGAATGCGGACGCCAACATGACAAGTCTGCATAGATCTTACACTTACACATGAGTGAACAAGCCTCAGGTTCGAGCCGTGGCTGCCAAACATGCGACGTATCCGTGCAGGTGCAAGGCACGTGGGTTGCGAGAATACTAGGTGGGGCTTTTAAAGCCTTTGAAAAACATTAGTAAGTAAGATACTCTTAAGCCCAATAAGGGAAAAATATAAAATGTCCCAAAGCCCTACCGAGGTTAGGCAGGCAACTTGCTCCAACTGTAAAGCCGTCGGCCCCGAGGTTTGAAGTTGATGGTCTTAATCTTAGTACTAGTACTATTTTTTCATATTAATGTTAGTATTTTTTATATTAGTAGTAATACTGGTATTTTTATTTGTGGTGTAGTGTCTGTTTTAATTTTGAAGGCCCATACCTACGACGCAGCCAAAGGCCACATGACAAAGCTATCGTGATTCCCAGTTGCGATGCTCCTGTTACAGGCTGCTTTTGACACGATGTGCGTGAACCTTTCCTACTAACACGGCAAAGTGATCCCTACTCGATTCGACTCTGCTTCTACTGTGGCATTGCTCCTTCCCTCCTCATCCCCAATGGCACCCTTTTCCCTCCGAGCGGGGCCTTCAAGGCCAGGGTACAGCCGTCTGCACTCTAGTTCCCGCAAACCACGTGCAGCCTCTCGGTCAGGTGGTCATCGAAAACCTTCATGTCGAGCTTCCCGAGCTCTCTCACCTCAGAGCAGTCGATTCAGCTCGATCTTCGAAGTATCTCTTGATGCCGATGTGCTAACCGCTGCTAACCGAGCTCCACATGCCGCAACCGAAGTCCAGCTTGCTAGAACTCTTCTGCGCCGACTTTGAGGCATCCGAGCTACAGAGTCACGAAAATCGTCCGCCACCACCTCGATGTCCTTTGCCGCAGCGCTCGTTTGCTGCGCCACTAGTGTCTTCCTCAGATGGCTCGGGAGCTGTTAACTGCCTTCCCTTGGGACCTGTAAACTTGAAGCCGTGTTCGGGCAGATAGCCCAAGGTGGACCCGAAAGTCGCATCTTGGCGCAAGTCTGAAAATCCACAGCTCCTCGCTACAACTCCGGCAAGGTCGGTGCAAGAGGAAAGAAGCGAATCTCACACTAACTGCGAGCTGTGGTAGCAATATGCCCCCTCACTTCCTCCAATATCGCCTTTAGAAGTTGACCCTTTCTGACCCTCTGACCCTGCGCAGGCCTTTCACGATTTCCCTGGAAGCCGCTTCAGACCCTAAAACTAAGTAAGGTCCAAGCACCCAGAACGGTGCCCCAGCACCCAAAACCAAGACTGTTCCGTCCGAGTCTCTCCTCTGGCAACGTGACGCATGCCCGAGGCCTCGCCGGAAATCATTGTCTCGGAGAGCTTCTGAGGGTTTAAGGTTTTTTGTTTTTTTTGAAGCCTCTTTGCCAGCCTGCCCGCGAAGTTAGTTGGAAGGTTTTGTGGGGGCTGAGGGGTGGGTCCTTGCTGATCATTGCCCCACGGAGTCCAAACTACACCATGCCAAAAGTTCCGAATCCCACAGCAAGGACACCTGCACGTCAACCCTGTCATCTGACGTAGCTGCCTGTCACCAGAATAAAACACGATTACAGCGGAAGTAGCACGAAACACCCAGGGGCCCATTACAACTACAGGGAAAGGCAGTACGCACTGCGAGTCGACCGGGGACTAACAACATCGCCGGAGAGAACTCAACAGCGCATTGACGATCAGGTCGCATACAAGTGAGCCCAACTCCAGGGGTTTAGGGTTTAGGGTTTAGAGTTTAGGGTTTAGGGTTTAGGGCTGCGTGGGGTTTGCACTTTGGCGCCGGGCTGTGCGTTGGGGAAGGAGCCGGATATAGCCGGACGCTTCAGGTCGGGGCGTCCATCGGGCTTCGAGCGAACAGAAGCTAGCATCATGAGGATACGTGGCTTGAAGCCCCCTTGTAAAGACTACCCGACTACCCCTCCCTGGACAGCTTCAGGAAGAATCCTCACGGCCTGGAAAATCCGAATCAACCATGCATGGTTGCGGCCGGGGGGCGCCCAGAACCGCTCGTGCTGCTTGATCCCGCGAGACGTGATGCCTGCCAGAGCCTGCGCAGTGCTGCGACGGGTCGTCGGCGCATTTTTGTGGGGGGGCTCCACTTCCCCGACTTCGCAAGCTGAGCACCTCCCATCCTGTCCTCAAAGCCAAAGGCCAAAACCTACAGGCCCTTAGCTCGTCTCGACTCGGCCAGCTGCCTCCACGGTGCACTCGGCCTGGCACATTCCCGTCTGCGGCTGCGCCTGATTTGGGGGTTCCAGCCTTGCTGTCTGTGCTACGAAGCTACTACCCTGCGGCTGCAGAGTCCCACCCCCACCCGCCTCCGCCTTTCCGAAACACGTCTTGGCCTCCGTGCAACACGGGTGCTCAAGGGCTCCCTTCTTCCCTTTCACTTTGTACCTGGCGGGACGAAGCACAAGACTCAACTTGTAATGACCACTAAGCCTCAGAGGTGCCCCCCCCCAAGCCACCCCAAAACGCCTCTGAGCAGCCTGAGCCACCCAGAGATTGGCCCCCCCGTGGGATCTCGTAAGCAGATTACGGTTGTTTGGCTTTTCTGAGTGCCCACCCTGCAGGCGGCCCGCACCAGAGTCGCCAGACGAAACCCTTGGCATGTTCGGGATCCTTGCATACTCTGGGCCCCAATCTTGCCGTTTCTTGTCGCAAAGTGTTGTGGAGAGACAGCGAGAGCAAGAGCTAGAGAGGCTTAGGACTTTAGGCATAGGTGTTGGGGTCGGGTTTTGGAGGAATGTACGAGTATGCAATTGTAGCACCGACGCCGAAAAGCCCGCTTCGGTAGATCTCCGCGCCGCGGCACTCGATCTCGAAGTTCTCGCAGAAAGCTTTCTTTATGTCGTTGATGACGTCCTGCAAAAACGACACGGAAACCAAGAAAGCCTTTTTTGTCGGCGGGTGCGGGCCTCGTCGACTGCATCAGCAACTCTCGGTCCCTAAACGAAACGAACAAGCAAACACAAACAACAAAGGGATACAAAGAGGGTGAAACAAGCATCTCATTCCGCAAGGAATAAGAGAAGCTGCAGAACCCAAGAAAGCTGGCATGAAGGCTATAGTTTGGTGCCTCGGGCTTCGTTTGGCTGAAGGTGGACAGGCTCCTCTCAAGGTCCATGGTGCGGGTGTAGCGGTGGCATTCTGTCGCGGTTTACCCCTCGTGCTTGGCGTCTTGTGCTGCTGGCGGTGTCCGATTCCCACCGAGAATCGCCAGGTTTCCGAGTGCGACACGCATCAGACCGCACACACACCCTACGGACAGCTTCGCATCTCCAGACGTAGCCTACGGCGGTTAGCAGCTCCGCCACTCGTTCCACACTCGTTTCAATGTCAAGACGACATCTCCAGATTTCTTGGGCATAGAATAACCCGATACCCGGTCCTCGGCGGGATTCGGTTCCATGGACATGGCCTGATCGTTAGTCTCGGCATTCGAGCGCACTGCCACACCTGGCGTGGCTCCAGACCTGAGCCGGCTTAAACTAGAGGGATGAACCTATGTAACTCTCAGTTCTAAACATATACACGCAAAATACTCCAATCCGGCCCCTGAATCCCAAGAGCTGCACGGAACCCCATGCTGGCCGCAGGACTTCTTACTGAAGCCCCGCTCCGGACACCACTTAGATCTGCATGACGGCGGGCGACGGACCCCCGACAACTTGTTTCAGAGACTCCGCACCTCCCAACATGATGCTCCTGATTCGATGAATTCGAAGCTCGATGGTGCAATTCCTGCAAACGTTCGACTTCAAGCCCACGCCCCCTCGACTTCAGATGTTTGGATCTTCGTGTGGCTCTGCCACCTGTCAACCTCGAAATAGATGTGTGAGCGAACCGCCGTAACGAAGTAGCTGGGCGCCGACGAAGCACGGCAGGCTTCATCATCTCAACCCCACTCACCAAATGCATGCCATGTCCTTGTCGTCGCAAGCCATGAATTGCACACACTTACAAGCTGGGGCCGCAGCAGAATTGCGAAAACTACAGCAACTCGGAAGCTTCTCATGCTTCTTTCGAGTGGAGAAGGCGCGACAGATCTGAACGCAAAATGCTTGCTGCGGAAATGCAATTGTCCGCCACTGTTTTCAGCTTCTTCAACATCCACAATCACATGGCCGCAAGCGCGTCAGGCAAGCTCGCAAGCTGGAGCGTGGAACACACCCCCTACTCCCTACTGCTACCTCCCACACTGCGTTTTGCGGTTCAGGTCTTTGTTCTTTTGGCAAGATCGAAGATATCGAAGGCAAGCTATGGGCTGCGGAACAACGAGAAACAGTCAAAAACTTATTGTTGCGAAACTCCTCAACGCTTGTTTTTGGCGTCTGCGGGCCTCGTCGGCTGCGGCAGCAGCACTACTCGGTCCCTAGAAACACACAAACCCAACAAAAACACAAAACAGCGGTGAAACGAGAAGAGCTACCGTCCTACCAAGACAGAGTCAGCAGTAGCCGTTCAGTGCGAAAGAAAGAAGCCTCTCTCAGCGACCGCAAGCTTAAGCAGCCTTCTCGGCCCTCTTCAAGCAAGAGCCTGGCAGGCCAGTCTGCGGTGCTCGAGTGCCACACGCTGCTGCGATGTAACATGCAGGTTGAAAGTGTGAAGTCTATCCTTGATTCTTGATGACTTCTGCATCCGTGCCGGGGCGAGCCCGGGGGTGGGATCGAGGGGGGCCGTCTTTGGCTCTTGGCCTCCCTCACCCTGGCTCTCTCTTCTTCCTTTCGCTCCAGCTATGTGCGGCCTTAAACCATAACCCTAAACCGTGGGAGGCTTCCCTCAGCTATGGCAGTCGTCTCCGTCTCCTTAGCACTGGCTCCTGGTAGCTCTGGGAGGTCCACCTCGGGCTCAACCCCACAGGATGCCTTCGGCGCTGGGCTGAAAGGTGCCAGGGAGCCCTTTGAGATGTCACCTCGAAGGGGAGCTCCACGGAACCGGAGAAGAGGATGTGCTTGACCTGCACTGTTGATTGTCTTGTCACTCCGACTGGTTGTAAGCGCGACTGGGCGAACTAAGCCAGAGCCACTTACAGCTTCCCATGCCTAGTTTTTGGCTCTCTGGGTTCAGTGACTCCCCACCCCCTCTGCGTCCAGGATCCTAGACGCGTGCAACCCAAAACAAAACAACTGACAGGTGAAGATAGTGCAACAGCATAGGGAAAGTAACATGTCGAAGCTTGAATGCTGCGTTGGTACATAAATAATCTATCTACGGGAGAAGGGCGGCAGGTATGAGATGAAGGCCAGGTGGCTCAAGCAAACGTGAGGTTGAAGCGGAGGGACTTGAGCCCATCAATGGAGTCTATCTCAATCTTGCCGTGGTATCGTCCACTCGGCGCTTAGAGGAAGTATATTTACCTATTGCAGACCGGGACAAAGTACACCAACGTGGAGGCCCGCGTGAGCAGCGTGTCGGGAAAAATCGCAAGGCAAGCGGGTGCAAGGCAGGGCACCGGTACCGAGAAAGGGGCAGCGACGTGCCAGTTATGGTCGGTGCAAGCAGGCTCAGAACTTTACTGGCGAAGGTTCCTTCTCCTAGATTTTCAGCAAGTTTCAAGCATTCGTTCCACACACCTAACGGAAACACCCGCTGTGTAATCATTGACTCAAAAATCATACTCTGCAGCTGTCTGCTGTATCTCAGCTCGTGCCACCGAAGGAACTTGACAAGCTGCAGGATGGACACGTGAGCGGGCAAACTAGAAAGAGAAACCTAACGAATGAAGATTACAACCCACACCAATCTTAAGGACTCATGGTCATGAATCGTCATGAAGTCAAAAACAAATTTCACACCGACGGAATCCAAGCATGGCGGGAGGGCCAAGTCCGGAAACGCGTGCAAAAGAGAAGGCTGCACAGCCAAAGCAGCTGCAGTGCCTGTCAAGCTCGTAGCGGCTTTGCTTGCTATACGTTTCTGCACGTAATGCCATCGACCTTCAGTGCCTTGTGCAGTGGAACCGCTGTTCGGTGCCTGCGATCAAAACAACAATTGTGGATGTCCTGTAGCATGCGACAAACCCCGCCTGCGCATTCCGGAGAACACGAAGACCAACCTCTTGCCACAGGAAATGAAAGGATGAGTCGATGATGGGTATCGAAGTATCTTTCCGAGTTTGCCTGCAAAGATGCCCGCGCTTTGGCCTGTGCATCCTGCACACCATGACACTTGGACTGACAGCCACTACGGTGCAACACTAATGCAGAGCTCCGTCGTCCTCTAACTGCAGACTTCCCTCGAAACTTCCGCCAGATTCGGCGACTACCATTTTGAAAGATATGGCTTGGCTCCATAACTGATACTCAGGATCGGGCACTTCATCCTCCAGACCGCTCTGGAAATCGTAGATGGTGACTGTGACCACCCCATTTCGGGCGACAATCCTTAACCACGAAACAACAACGTATAGTGTCTCCTATTTCACACGAATCGCTCGATTGTCCAAGGCTCAATGTTCCTGTCTCTTCCCAAACGGTATGCCTTGGATGGAAAGCAGCATCGGCGTCACCAAAGACCTCGAGCCTGCGCACAAACACACAAACACCTGACATAAAGCGGACGCAATACCAAGGTACACGGTGCACTGCAAAGTTTTTGTCTGGAACCGACTTTGGGATCCCGGCACTTCGACAACCTCAAATGGTCGGGGAAACACATCAATGCAGCTCACCACCCGTGTGCCACAGCATCGATGACACCAACTGAGACATGTGCACAATAAGGGTCTGTGTTCCAGCATGACTTCTTTCGCGTAGACCTCTGCACATTCACCAATGTTGAAGCTTGTGTACATGAAAATTGAAGCTTGCTGGTTGCCGCCTTGCGCAGACTTGATGGTTTCCTCCAGTTCTTGTGCCGGGGCCTGGCGATGCAAGCGTCTCACCGGCCTACAACATAGTCGGGCTATTTCAACCACGTCACAACGTGCTTACCGGCCTAGACGAACCCACAATCATCCGACGAGCACTCAGCTCCAGGGTGGCATCATGCGTTCATTTCACCTCAGCTTGAAAGATGTTTCCAATTCAAAACGATACTTCAACTTCGACAAGAAGATCTTGAAGCTTGCGATGTCTCCATCGTGAAATGCAGGTGGCAGCGGTGGAGCTGTCGGCGAGCAAAACACAATCAGCATGTCAAGAGAATCGCAGGCAGACGTTGTATCTCCATGGCAACAGACATCGGATGCTAGAAATCTGCTTGACAAATGCTAGAAGAGTCCTCAGTCCGCGGCGAATGGTGTTTGGACATTTACACTTTATGACACTGACAACTTCTGTGCTGGGTCAGGAAAAGAAACTCATGTTCTACGTTACCCAAGCACGATTTGAACGACTACCAAGGCATGCCGTACAGAGTCCAATCTGGGTCCAGGGTCACCTGGGCCTGGAAACGATGTCTTCTACCGCAGTGAAACTGCAGAGTCTTGGTGAAGCTCCAAATGAAGCACATGCCCAAATCAACCAAACAACAACATGAGCACACCCGTTGGGCGGATGCGTGAATGCGAAGCACATAGCACCTTCTGGCCAGGCCCGAATCAACGATAACGCAAACGTTCTCTTCTGGACGGCTGCTCGCTCTCCGTCTCTCCCCCTCCCTCCCTCCCTGCCTGACTCGCTCGCTCGCTCTCTCTCTCTCTCTCTCTCTCTCTATCTCGTTCTTTCTCTCTTTTCTTTCTCAAGGGTGAGAAACAGGGGAAGATGCCGCCTGCCTCTCTCTCTCTCGCTTTTTCGCCAAGGCATGAGGGGTTGGTTAGACCTGACCTCGGCCGCATGGCCCCCCCCCCCGCAACGCACGACATCGTGGAGAACACAACAATGCTTTCGCGAGAACATTCGTGAGAACATATGTGTGGTCGCGTAAAAGCCCCCTATAAATGCTGAGCATTCGTTGGGCAACAACGCATGCGCAAACTGATAGCAAAACCTTTCGGACATCAAGGGTTCCATCAACGCTCGAAACGGATTTGCTTATGTACATGCCTTCGAAGTTACTGTCACTGTCAAGGCGGAGCCCTCCATTCCAGCAAAAGCAACGGTGCAAGCAAAATGAAGAGGCCCTTCTAACCGCTACCGACCAGTGGGGCAGAAGCAACTTCCTGTATCTGCCCATCCTTCAGCCCTTGCAGAAATTCGCAACTAGTGGCAGCGGCTCCAAACATTTTGAGCCAACTAGATCTGCGCCAGTGACGCCATTTGTGACTGTCAAGACAACGTCCTGCACATTGATGAGCTTGAACGATGTGTGTATATGCACAACCAAAGCATCGTGGAACTTCCGCCTCAAGGAACTTGTCATGAGATTGATTTCTGCATGACCATGAAGCCTGCCCAGAGTGGTGGATGCCACCTGTGTTCCAAAGCCTTCTTCTGTGCTTCTCGCAATGCTGCCGCTGGACTGTTTCCTCGGCAGTAGGCGTCATAAAACCACTCCATGAAGGTGGCAGTCTCTCCGTCTTGCACGTCCAGTGTGCTCAGCAGCACTGCGTTAGCACCTGCGTTCAAGAATGCCCGGCCCAAACCAATGACCCCTTCTCCCCATTCAAGAGTGCCAAGGGCAGTGCGGCAAGCAGTGACAACCACCAGGTCTGTCTCTTGCAGGGAAAGACCCTGCAGTTCCAAAGCAAAAATGACGCCAGGTTCATCGCAGACCTTGTTCTGCCATGCTTCTGCAGTGGGCAACGCGAGGCCAGAGCGCAGCATCGGGTGCGCACTCTCCATTTCCCGCTTGTTGACCCGCGTCAGTACTTCTTCAAGTCGTCTTTTCACTCTGGCTTCACTCGAAACAACCTGATCCATTTCGGAAGGTTGGAAGAAGCCATGCGTCGAAATGTGCAACACCCGGGGGTCGCAGATGTTCAGCAGAGCTTCTCTGGTGGCGCTTGATTTTTCGTACAACCTGATGTCCTGACAAATACGCTTCAGCTTTTGCTCAACCACTTTGACTTCAGCCTCCACGCCAGGCAGCGCCGTGAAATCCCAGCCCTTCACGGTTGCAGGCTGAGCTGGAAGTCCATCAAACTCACAAACTGCAAAGATGGCGCAATGCTGGCTCTTGGACTTGTGGGGGCTACTGAGTAGGTCTCGTACATTCCCCAAATACTGGATGTCCACAGATTGTATGATGTATTCTCCTTGCACGCGCATCAAACAGAAAGGAAACCGGGCAATGTCGCCATCAGCACAAATAACTATTCGTGACATGTTCCAAGGGAGTTGCCCCAAGGCAGGCTTTAGAATCATCTCGGTGAGGGCTTCGAGGCTAGCTGAACATTCATCTGAGCGTGTCTTGCGGAGCCGAGGCATTCCGAGTAAGGAAAGAACCTGGCTAACACGTTCATCCACATCTGCCTTGCTGAAGGCATAGAACCTGGCAGTTGACTGCGTCAATGCAAACACGCCATACCGCAGGTCATCTTTTCCAGGCCCTGATTCATATACGGTAAAATCCAAGAGAAGAGACCCCTCGGGCACACGTCCCATCACATCTTCACAACTTTCATTCGAGCTAGCTGTCGCCTGGCAGTGCAGATCGCACTCTATCATCTCCATGGCTTCACGAAGCTTGTATGTGTCCTCTGCGTTGCCTTCTGAGAATACACTCGCCACATATTTTTTGCGGATGCTGCGGAGCTCGTCAGAGGCCAACACATCTGACGACTTGCTGTAAGCTAAGCCTTTTCGCTTGATCAGATGTGTGTGACAGCTTTTGAGGAAGCTTCCTTTTTGCTCTTGAGTCAAATCCTCGCTCTCCAAACATTTCGTCAGCACCAACAGTGGACCAGACACGTCGAATCTGCAGTGGCGCAGGTACCACACTCGCTGCAACTCCAACAAATCGCCAAGCATCTTTGACACAAACTTGCTATGGCTTGACATCAGCCGCTGACACATGCTCATGGCACCCTCGAGGTCACCCAGCCGATACGCATGAATAGCGTACTCATGCAACATCTCTGAGAACAAAGGATGCGCTTCACCACATGTAGTAGCCTTGATCTCTAGGGCCTGTCGGAATTCATTCTCGGCCTCATTCTTCAACCGCTCGAACTGCTGACCCTCCTCTTCTTCCAACGCCATCAAGCTGTGCAAACCAGCCAAATTCTTGAGAGTCTCTCCGACCCTTGAGTGCCCTGGGCTAAGTGCGAGTTGATGTTTCAATGCCTCTTTGAACAATTCCTCTGCTTCAGCAAATCGCTTGGCTTCTTTGTAACAGTCTGCCAAGTTGTGCAAAGGAAGAGTGTAGTGCAAGGAATTGCATCCCAGCACCTCCTGGAGAATGGACATCGACTTCTTGAAACTTGTCTCAATGCAAGGATCACCAGGTTTGGTCTGGCGATAAACCAGGCCAAGGTTGTTCAACGTCAAAGCGTAGGACTGGTTTCTTTCACCCATCTCTTTTGCAAAGACCTCCAAAGCTCCCTCATACATTTCTTCGGCTTGTTCCACAGCGCCCATCGAATCAAAAACTTGCCCCAAATTGTTCATGATACGGGCACATGGCACACTTTTTGGACCACAGTTTTCTCTCTGCACAGCCAAGGCTTCTCTCAAGCACTCTTTGGCAGCATCATACTTTCCCATATTGTAATACAGAAGTCCGAGGTTCTGCTTGGTCGCTGCGGAGTTGGTGTGTTGAGGACCCAACAGTCTCTCTGCCACGTTGTACACTTGCAAGAAAGCTTTCTCGGCCTCGCAATAGTCATCCTTCTCCCACAGAAAGCTTGCATATGAGTTCAAGGTTTTTGCATACTCCAAACTATTATTTCCCATTGCTTCTCCTGCCATAGCCAAAGCCTTCTGATAGTAGTCCTCCGCTACATCGTACATCTCCACTCCTTGCATCGACACTGCAAGCTCTTGGTAAACTCGCATAAATTTTCTGGCCGGGGCATTTTCGGTATTCAGAATTCCGATCGCTTTTGTCAGTTCACACGCAGCATCTTGATGACGGCGGAGGCGATTCAGTACATTTGCCAAGGCAACTTCCACGTCCACAAAAAAAATCGAGGTATCCAAGTTCAAGCGCTCACATGCACGCAGCGCCTTGCTAAAGCAGTACTCAGCTTCCGAAAACCGCCCACGCTTAGTGCAGAAATCGCCAAACTTACGACCAAATTTGCTGATCTGTTTGTCAATCTTCGCTGACGTCGAAGGAAGCACCGCGTCATTGTGCTCAGCTTCCTGATCCAAAACTTTGATGACCGCTCTGCGCCACCGCGCTGCAGCGCAGACACGCGACATGATTTCTGTTGCGTGGGTGATGATCCACCCGAAGAAGATGCCTAATCAGAAAAAGAGGCACGAATTTGCAACACAAAAGCACCGTGTCGGCTGTTGTCCTACGATGAATACACGCTTGAAACATCCCACAAGAGATGAGTATCCAATCTTGCCAATTCTGCAAAAGCAAACAATTCCGTGTCGCTTGCTATTGCTTGAGCCGCCGCACCTGGATTAAAACAGCTTTTGCCCTGGAGCTAACCGTCAAAAGAGAGCTCCGACAAGCACTGAAAACACTGACACAGTGAAGCACTGAAGCCTATTCTTGTCATGGGTGGATAGCAGATCACAAACAGACACTATATATCAAAAGATGAAACTAAGCTGGGAAAATCCCACAGGATCAGTGAAGCAAAGCATCCTGGGCCAAGGAGGAGGGGCACGCGGGCTGCCGGATCAAGAAAAAAAATATCAAAAAGAAAATAGAAATTCAAGGATCAAAATAAAAGGAAAAAAGGAACCAATAAAAAATCGCGAACCCAAGCTGTCACGAGTCACGGCTGTAACACTGCGGCTGCGCGCTACAACTGCCATCCTGCAAGTGCCACTGCGTCTCAGGACTCAAGGTGATCGATGCCGGCAATTGGCGTTTCTGGCGATATTTTGTAGACAGTAGGATGGAAGCGCAAGACATGCTCCGTAGTCCGAACAGCGGGAATCGCCTGTCGCACAGATCCGCTGCATGTGAAGCACCGCAAACGGTCTTGCAAGGAACCCTCGCAAAAACGCAGCGGCAGCTGTCTTTTGCTTCGCGAGCCCAGCTCCACAGGTCCCCTAAGCACCGCCGCGTCAACGACTGACCGCAGGTGCGCAACTCAAGAGCTACACACCTACTTTCTGCCGTTCGCAATTGGCACCTCGTGGCTTGAAAAGGCTTGAGCCAAAACGTTTCGTTTTGGCAAAACAACCAATTAATCACCACAGGCAATCCTAAAGCAACAGCTTTGCAGAGACAGCACATGTGACTGACACATGTATGCAAGCTCACAATACGCCCCTCAGCCGAGGCTCCGTATGTGGCTGCAAGCAGTGGGGGAAGGACGCGTCCGCGACTGGAAAGTCCGCAGGAAAGGGCGAAGCCCGGAACACGGACGGAAACCGGACGAACCTTCCTACAACCCACTTCAATTCCGCTATCCGGCGGTAACCTTTTTATTGGCTTGCGTCCTACAAGCATGTCTTGCGTGTAATTCCATGGTGTTCCCGTTGCTTCTGCAAGCATCGCCTCAACGTCAAACGTTGCCGTGCACCGACGCATTGTTCTACAATCTACAGTTCGTTTTCTTGTACTCACCAGGTTCATGCTGCTAACAGCATCTTTTCCAACAAAGGTTCGTTTTCTCCACGGTTCACTTTACTCTTTCACCTTTGGCAACGGCTTTGCCAAAACAACGCTTCCCCACAGTGCTAATGTTCCTTTGTACTCTCGATCAAACAATATCTCGAACGGTGTCTTTCCTTTCCGTACAACAAACCTGTTCAGTAGGAATGCTGCAGTCTTGCAGCCCATGGTTGTATAACGTGCTTTCCGAGGTGATCTTCACTTTTGCTTCAGTTTCAACACCATACACCAATGTCTTTGATAAGTTCCTAACCGTCTGAACCCATCTTTCCACCTGTAATCCTCGTCTGGTGCAACATCTTGCATCTCGGCTTCAAGATTCTTCAGCTTCGTAGTCCTTGAACTATCCGCAATGAAATCATTGCTGGTTCCGTGTCTGTTCGCCGTATCACTTTGGAATTCAACAACATCAACATTCGGCAAACTTCCTCAAGCAAGTAAGCTGTTGCTTCCTTGCTTGCAACCGGTGTCACATGTACGAACATCGTTGCTTGGTCATCCAGGAGTCATCCATTACCAAACCGATTGTCAATGCAGCTTTTCCATCTTTTGGGCTCTCTTCATCTCTCGTTCCAGTGAACTTGAAAACCATCGAAACCAATGATGCTTCATTAGTCTTCTCAGACACTTTAACGTTGTCTTCTCTTGATCTCGTAGCTTGGCAACTCGTACACCGATCTGATTTTGGCAAATGTGTAAGCTCATGCTTCTTTCCCTCTTCTTCTGTTGGTTCCTTTGGTCTGTTCTCTCCTGTGGGTTCTCTTGAAAAATTCCACTTCCAATCCTTTGGAAATCTCTACCAGTTCCTTCATCTTGTTTGCTGCAATACATTCTTTGAGACGTTTCCAAACTTGAGCTTTGCTTCCCGTCTTTCTGATCTTCAAGAATTCACATGCTGCCCTCAGCGTGCTGTCAGGGGCAAGTTCAACTCCTGCAAAACCATTGCTTCATCTCCTTACTCTCTCAAGCTTGTAGCTGTTCTTCAATTTTTCCCTTCACTCTCATCTGGAGGTTCACCTGGGAATAAGTCTTCCATCACTTTCTTGTTCTCTTCATCCATCTCTTCTAAAGTCTTCTTCGGCTTAGCTCCAACGGAGAGACAGCGAGAGCAAGAGCCAGAGAGGCTTTGGGCATAGGTGTTGGGGTCGGGTTTTCGAGGAATGTACGAGTGTGCAATTGTAGCTCCGACGCCGAAAAGCACGCTTGGGTAGATCTCCGCGCCGCGGCACTCGATCTCGAAGTGCTCGCAGAAAGCTTTCTTGATGTCGTTGATGACGTCCTGCAACAACGACAACGGAACCCAAGAAAGCTCCTTTTGTTGGCGACTGCATCAGCAGCTCTTGGGTCCCTAAACGAAACAAACACAAACAACCTAAAGAGTGAAACAAGCATCTCATTCCGCATGGAATAAGAGAGAAGCTGCGGAACCCAAGAAAGCTGACATGAAGGCTCTAGTTTGGGGCCTCGGGCTTCGTTTGGTTTGGCTGCAGGTGGACAGGCTCCTCTCAAGGTCGATGGTGTGGGTGTAGTGGTGGCATTCTCTAGAGTCTCTAGAGGTTTCCCCCTGGTGCTTGGCATCTTGCTCTGCTGGCGGTGTCCGATTCCCACCGAAACTCGCAGACCGCACACACACACAACACACACACACACACTGACTGATTCGGCCAAGAGCAAGAAGAGGAGAGTATGTTGTATGTGGCGGTGGAACATGATGAAGTTGATGATGATGATGATGATGACAACGAAAATGAGATGAGAATTTTGTGCCAAGTATACCAGACCGAAGGATTGGCATACGAAAACAAGATGAAATGATCCGTAAGGGGTATGGTTTCGGCCCCTTGCCACGCCAGACACAAAGGAATGACATAGCACGAAATGAGATGAAAGATGAACGACAATGAGGGTCCCGCCAGCTGCCCACTACGGGGCCCAGGCGCAGACCAATGCAGGTACGTTACGTGGAGCGTGGGGGAGCTTCGTTGGGCGGAGCACCCCCACACTCCCTCCGCCCCCCTGCACTGATGGTTGAAAACGAAAACGAAAAGGTGTGTGGGAGTCCCCTGCTCCCATGTGCTAGGGAGGTTCACACACACACACAGCCCCACGTTGGGGCGATTCGATGTTGCTCTGTTATGCCGCGCCAGGGCAATCCAAACTACACAAACCCTGTCCGAATAATGAGCTTGGTGACGAAGACCGTAAGGTGCCAATGTTGTAGTAGTCCACGTTGTAGTGAAGGCTTGTCAATGTGGGCTTATGACTGTCCTTCAGCTGGGCACGCAAGCCCCCAGAAGCGACAGAGGGGTGGAAGGCTGATCAGCTGCCCTTGCGAGGGCCCAGATCCAGCCAGGGACTGTTCCTCAGCTGGGCGCGACGGCCCCCAAAGGCAACAGTAACGAGGGTTAAAGGAGAAGACTGCTACCCAGCTACCCTCGAAGGGGTCCAGGGCTAGCAGCTTCTGACCAATGTATTGCACATGTGGTTGTATGTTGTAATTAGGGTGGTGAGATTAGGGTGAGGACACTCCTTCCAGCTGCCATCAAAGACCCAGGAACGGAGTGACTACTGCCCAGCTACCCGAGCAGGGTCCAAGGCCAGTAGCAGGATTAGGGTATTCCACCCTCCAGCTGTGTAGCACCCAGGAGCGGTGGACCATCCTCCAGCTGTGCAGAAAAGCACCCAGGAGGGAACGAGAGGTACCACGTCCTGCGTGGTCCTCAACTTAAGGTGCGGGGTTAGGGGGAGAGAGAAGCGAGATGGCCAATTACTTCCCGGAGGAAGCTGCAGTCCCTTGCATTAGCCGAATGTTACTGCACCTGCCCTCTTGTTGCATGTAGGCGTTGAATCTGCATCCTGTGTGGGAGTAGTAGGGGATGCTGCACACCGATCAAGTTGTTGCGAATGGTTGCGTATCCACTCTTGAGAAGCAGTGAAGTATTCTCGCCACCATGAAGATCCGTTAGTGGCCCAATGCCATCTCCACTCTGACACGCGCGGAGATCTTGATCTAGTGTGTCGGTCCATGATAATAGCACAACAGGTTGTAAGCTAAATGGCTGCGGTCAACAAGTGTGTAAGTGTTCAATAATGGAATGTCATGAATGCGGCTTGCAGTTATTTTCAGCATAGAATGTAATGCATGCGGCTTGCAGTTGTTTTCAGCGTAGAATGTAATGCAACGCACATGTCCAACTTATGTTGGTCTTCTTTACATCTGTATCAAAGCTTCGAGTCGTTCGACTCGGTCCTTCAACTCTGAGATTTGTCTGCTTGTTTGAGTGATAAACTCGGCCAATTGATCACGGAAGGCCCAGTCGCTAAAGGTGGAGACTTTGCTGCCTGTGTCGGAGCCGTGCTCTCGGTGTTCGGTCAAAATCTCCAGGAGCGCCTGGGTGAGAGCTTCACGTCGTGCCTCATCCATAACAGGCGGAGCTGTAGTCGTTGTCTCTGTCGGATTGGATGCATTACTCATGGCTCCAAAGTTGAGGGGTCAACGTTGTACAGCTGAGGCCAAAACTTACATCAAGAGGACGAAGTGGCTTGCTGTGTGATGCAATTGCACAGTCGGAATGGGGCAACTTTTTCATAACATCTCGCATGGATCGACACCTACGAC